GGTCAGGAAATATACTTGTTGTAATTTCAGTCTTAGGTTTACTAAGCCTTGTTTTATTCCCTAACATGCGATCTATCTTGGAGAATGTTCCATGTGCTCTTGAAAAGAATATATATTTTGTTGCTGTTGGATTAAATGTTCCATATATGTCTGTTAGGTCTCTTTGATATGAAGTGTTTGTTCAAGACCAATGTTATTATTAATTTTCTATCTGGATGATCAGTTTATTGTTGATAATGGAATACTAAAGACCCTTACTAGTATTATATTACAATCTATTACTTCAGATCCTTTAGTATTGTTTGGTACATTTATGTGTTCTCATGTTAGGTACATGTGTAACTATTATATCTTCTTGATGAATTGATCCCATTGTAATTATAAAGTACTTCTTTGTCTTTTTTACAGTTTTGGGAAATAAAGTGCATTTTTTTCTGATATAAGTATAGCTACACCTGTTCTCTTTTGGTTTTCATTCATGTCTTCTAGCTTCCAGCTTCCATTGTGAGAAGGATGATCATTAATATCATCATTTCCTAGTATGTAATCTCCCCTCTATTGAAAGCACTATTTATTTATTTATTTATTTATTTATTTATTTATTCAGTGGCTCACTTTTGAAACTTTGATAACCCCATGATTTTTGGTATGATAAAATGACCCAAGTTCATCTTACATATTACCTTCTCCAGATCTGAAATCAGTTTCTAAGGAATCTTAACTCATTTTACAGGGAAATGGTATCGAGAGACTTAAAATATCAGTGCAAGTTACATRTTGGTATTGGTTGCTTATTACATCTGGCCTTTTCCAGTGAAGAGAGGCAGGAAATACTGCTAAATAGTTGAAGATGAATATAATTATTCTTTTTTTAGGAAGGTGAGATATGAGGTCCGCTGAAACATGACACTCTCTATATCATGTGATCAAGCTGTCATTTTTACTTYATCTTTGAGATTTTACTGAAAACATGCTGTAATCTGAACATTTCCACCCAAAAATTCATTGTTGAAAACTTAATCATCAATGTAATGGTATTAGGAAAAAATTCCTTTGGGAAATTATTATATCATGAGGTAGGAACACTCGTGAATGAGATTAATACCCTTTTAAAACAGGCCCCAGACAGGGGAATTTTCCTTTCTTACATGTGAAGATTCAGGGAGAAGATGCTTTCCATGAATGAGGAAGCATTAGCTAATACCCTAATCTACTAATATCTYGCTCTTAGTTTCCCAGCCTCCAGAACTGTGAGACATAAATTTCTGTTGTTTGTAAGCCATTAATTTATGGCATTTTGTTTTAACAACCTGATTGGACTAAGAGAAAAAAATATAGACATTTTTATAATATTGTGTTTTCTTCTTATTTCTTCCTTCCTTTCTTCCTTTGTTTGTTTATTTGGGGACTGGGCTTTGAAACCAGGAGCACTGAGTTACATCCCCAGCCCTTTTTATTTTTATCTTGAGACAAGGTCTACCTAAATTTCCCAGGCTGACCTCAAACTGGTAATCCTTCTGCCTCAGCCTGCTGATTAGCTGGGAGTACAGGTGTATACCACCATGCCTGGTTGTGTGTGGGTTTTTTTTTTAATAATGAATACATACCATATTTTTATGATCAAAATGAAAGAATATAAACCAGACGTGGTGGCAAATGCCTATAATCTCAGCAGCTCAGGATGCTAAAGCAGGAGGATCATGAGTTCAAAGCCAGCCTCAGCAATGGCGAGGTCTCAGGTGAGACCCTATCTCTAAATAAAATATAAAATAGGGGTGGGGATGTGGCTCAGTGGTTGAGCTCTCCTGAGTTCAATCCCTGGTACCCCCTCCCTCTCCCCAAAATGAAAGAATACAAAGTTATAGGACCCTAAACAGTAGATCAGTGAACCAAAGAAATGAGTATACAATTTATGAAAGAACTAACAAATTAGTGTTAAATTTCTTGGGTATGYATATGATATTGTGATTATGTCCTTGTTTTCAGGAGATCCATCCTGATATGTTAAAGTAATATGGTGTCAGCAATTTACTTTTTTAAAATAATGCTTTATTGGTATGCTATAAGTTCATAAATCCTTTTTTTTCCCTCTAGTTGTAGATAGATGGCATGCCTCTATTTTATTTGTTTATTTTTAGGTGGTGCTAAGAATCAAGCCCAGTACCTCGMACATGCTAAGCAAGCACTCTGCCACTGAGCTACAGCCCCAGCTCAGCAATTTACTTTTAAGTTGTTCTACCAAAAAAGAAATAAGTATGTATGGGTAGAGGAAGAAACAAAGACCACAAGTGCAAACAAGACAAGAGTGTGGGCTGGGATTGTGGCTCAGCAGTAGAGCGCTCGCCTAGCACAG